TCATGGCTGTGTTTTGCAGAAGGAATTTTAGGCCTGGCTGGGCCTCAGATCTCTGGGAAGAAGAAATACTTTTTTTCCACTGAAATTGATCCTCATCGGCCTGCTGTTTTCATTCTAACTCAAACTACTGAAGCCATTTGATCTGTTACAGCTCTAAATTATACAGCAATACTGGCTCCTGTAAAATATATATATATATATATATAACACATAGTTTAGGAAACTGAACATTATTACAACATAATTACCTGTAAATTACAGCTGAATCTAAAAATCTTCCACTTGTCGTTTCACTTTTTTAAGTCATCAATATTATCAGGAAAAATAATGTTCAATATCGGTTATTACAGTTTCCATCCGTTGGTTTGGCTCATATTAGGGCCGGACAGAACCTGCAGACATTTTTTGCTATTTCTGCTGAGAATTTTGTGGAAAATCTGTGGATTTATGTGGAGTAATTTTGGGAGTATCATAATTAAAAACTTAATATATGACATCAAAAATAATACATTTTTAACTTTTATTTAATGTTTACAATGCAAATCCAATTAGAGTCAAATATTTGGTAAACAAAACAAGTCTCTCATATAATGTCTCTATTAAAAGACAGAAAATATTACTTTATAAATTGAATTGTAAATAAATCATTTGAACACATTCATAGTAGTCACCATTTTTACTGAAATTAACTTAAAAACTGAATAAATATAAATTTGCATACATTTACACAAGTTAATAAATAGACTCAATGATGGGCTAAATATCAGCAGATTTCTGTGCGCGCAGATTCTGTGTGGGCCTGCTCATTTCTTACAGTTCAGCACAACGATATAGCTCACTGGCAAAAGCTCATATCTCCCAAAACGATGGCGGTCACACTTTTTCCTCTGCCTCCCATATCTCTCCTGGCTGCCTCTTGTCTCATCTTATTCTATCTCTGAGACTCTCCTTGCCCTGCTCTCCAAACAAATAAGGAATTATGGATTTGATCAACTGGTCTCTGAATGCAATTGACACCATCTTCTCGACAAGAAGTCTGGGTTCAGGGGAACCCAACTGTCCTGCGTGGATTTTTGCATATGAATACATGATGGACGGGTGTGAGAAGTGGTGTGTTGTGTGCCTGTCCGCTCTGTCCCTAAAGCAGGGGTGGACAACCCTGTTCCTGGAGAGCCGCCTTCCTGCAGATTTCAGTTGCTACCCATTTCAAACACACCGCAACCAATTAATTAGGACCTGAACACCACGTGATAATTACAGGCAGGTGTGTTTGATATGGGTTGCAACTGAAATCTGCAGGAAGGTGGCTCTGCAGGAACAGTGCTGTCCACCCCTCCCCTAGAGGATATTGAAGATATCTACCTATTCGGAACCTTGATAACAGGGTTTCTGCTGATGGGCTTAGATGGGGCCCTGAAGAAACCGACGACTGATAAAAGCAATCAGTGCAGCTTAACACCCTACCAAGCTGGCCGGCTGGAGTGAAAGGGTGGTGAGCAGGGTTGTTAGTACTCAGACTGTGGTCTTAGACCGCAAATTGGTAAAACATCGGGAAGAAACTAGAGGCTTTGCAATGAAATTTGGTCAGACCTGCAGACCAGCGATGGACAATAGATTTATGTAAAATTGGCAGACATTGACCCAAATTAAAAACTTTTCTTCCCTTTCGGCTTTTGTACTGTATACAGAATAATATACTGTAATATAAACACACAAACAAAAAACACCTACAGTGCTGTAAATAAAGATAGACATAGATTCATGTATGGTATTCCTGGTGTTACTGTATGTTCTTGACTATATTTGACTGTTGGACAGACTATTGTGAATGTGATGACCTATACAATAAAATACCGCTGACACGTTTTTGAGTGAACAACCATTCCACTCAGCTTAGATCAACCAGATCTCTTCACTAGGAAATTATGCTATAGGTTTCTTATACTCAATAATTTACAAAGATGTACTTAGACATTTGCTATTTGATGAAATGAATAGGAAAATCAATTCTGTTGTGAACAATCATCGAGTGGTTTGGAGGTTTGTCCGTGTTGTTTTGAGAATGTTATTCGTGTTTTAAGAAATGAGCCAAACAAATGAATAAAAACTGTAATAATAATGTATAATACTAGATTCATTTATTGTAAATAATATTTCAAAAGGGATAATTCACCCAAAACTAGACATTATTTCATCATTTACTTACCCTTTACTTGTTTTTTTCATCTGTTGAACACATACAAAAAGATCCAAAATCAAACAAAAAGTGCTCAGGGGTAGCTTACATAACGTGTCGGTGCTCTTTGGGTAAGGGATTTATCAGAATGAACAGCAAAAATCAGTCCAAGGCAATTGAAAAATGTGGAAAACTATTAAAAAGCCTTTATTGACATGGCTCTTCCTTAAAGGGTAATCTGATTAAGGCAGTTGGCATAGGTTTTAAGCAATAGCCATGTCAATAAAGGCTTTATAATATTTTATCTACATTTTTCGAATGCCTTGGACAGTTTTTTTTTTGTTTTTGTTTTTTGGTGTTTACACACAAAAATATATTTTGAAAAAAGTTGGAAACCTGTAACCATTGACTCCCATAGTATTCATTTATGAAAGTCAATGGTTACAGGTTTTCAGGTTCTTCAAAGTATTAAAGTATGCTCATAAAGGGTTGGAGTCACTTGAGAGAGAGTAAATTGTGAGTAGATTCTCATTTTTTGCATGAACTATCCCTTCAATCCTAAAAATGCTGAGTTATTTCAACCCAATTCTTTGTGTAATACAGACTAAGCCACCGGCTGGGTAATTTTTAATAAAAAAATTAATTTATCGGGCCAAATTTACCCCAATGTTTGAGTTAGTCCTTATTTTACCCAATTTGGGTTTAAACAACCCAGCATTTCTTATAGTGTTTAAATCAGTGTATTACACTCTATATAGATTTTAGTATTTACTAGAGCTGCACGATATATCATTTTAGCATCCATATTACAATGTGGGGTGGTGCAGTAGGTAGTGCTGTCACCTCACAGCACGAAGGTTGCTGGCTCGAGCCTCGGCTCGGTCAGATGGCATTTCTGTGTGAAGTTTGTTTGTTCTCCCTGTGTTCGTTTGGTTCCAAGTCCAAAGACATGCGGTACAGGTGAATTGAGTAAACTAAATTGTCCGTAGTGTATGTGTGTGAATGAGTGTGAATGGATGTTTCCCAGTGATGGGTTGCGGCTGGAAGGGCATCCGCTGTGTAAAACATATGCTGGATAAGTTGGCGGTTCATTCCCCTGTGGCAACCTTAGATTAATAAAGGCACTAAGCTGAAAAAAAAACTGAATGAATGAATCACAATGTGTGAATGTGGAGTCAGGATTATAGTTGACCAGGTATAAAAGTTTAGAAAACATGACAATTTTGGAGTTATTTCAAATTAAATATCGCAATGTACGTTTTTTTTCCAAAATCGTGCAGCTCTACTGTTTACAACTCTTTGATAATGACTGCAAAGTACTATTAACTATGGTGTACTCATAAACTGTAATAAATACTATAGTATACTTGTTTTTACTACAGTAAAATGTGGTGTTTTATAGTATAATACATATAGTTGTAGTAAATTTGTTTGTATTACTTTAGCTGTCTATAGAATTACCACAACAGATTGATTCAAATACTATAGTAATTCCTTCAAATTACTAAAGTGTTAATTTTATGAGGGCTGTTTTGTCTGTGTTTTTTTTTTTTTTTTTTTTCACTTTTAAAGGGCCGGTAGTTGTTGACTTAGATTTTTACAAATCAATAATGACCACAATGATTTCAGCAAAATTTTCTTTAAAGGGCAGCTATGATGAAAATCATCTTTTGTAGGCTATTTGGACAGAACTGTGTGCAGCTATAGTGTGTCCACAGCCATAAAGAAGTGATTGAAAGACAATAAGTCTCTTTTTTTTTAATTTCCTGACGTAAAAATAGGATCCAAACCCCTCCCATTTTGAGGCTGACCGCAACATGACATAGGAGTTTCCCCGCCCACCAAATTGATTGGCATCTGCGTATTAACATGTCTTCATAGTAATGCTTATAATCATATCAACAAGACAGGACGTGCGCAAAGCAACCGGGATTAAAAGATCTGTTAAGCTCTTTGTGATCATCAATCATCATTAAATGTGATCATGAAGGAGTTTGACACGTTTAAAATGTTTTTAAAACAGTGCATGTTTGTGATGAATTACATTGTTTTACGCGTTTTATCACCACAGCCGCACCTCAGTACAATTATAAAAGAAGACGCTTCAATTCCAGTTTTAAAGACGTTAAATCAGGATTATTTTGTACATAAACATAACAGATATCCATAAAGCAGTGGATATTATAGTGTATCCTGTCACATTTGCCCTGTGAAGACAAAGTATGTGTGTGTGTGTGTGTATGTGTGTGTGTGTGCATGAAATTTGTAACAACATTGTGTGTGACTCATCGCAAAAAGGCTTGAATTAACTCCACAACAAATATATCAAATAATCATTGGGAAAGTTCTTACTGTAGTATTTCTCACAAACGTTACATGAGATCTGCTTGCTTCATGTCTGTCACTGTACTGTTTATCTGACGCAGCCAAGGTGGAGATTGAGGCACACTGACAGACACGTGGTGCGGGGATATTTAGCATTAAAGACCACAAAAACAGCTACATTGTGTCCAGAGCAGAAAATCCAACATTCCAATAGCTATAATAAACAATATGATGGGTGTTTTGAGCTGAAACAGACACATTCTGGAGACACAAAAGACTTATCTTAAATCTTGAACAAGAGGCAAAATAGGTGCCCTTTAATGTTGTACTAACGTATAGAAATGCTTGCATCTCAGAATAAATCAATGAACAATTATTAAAGTGAATTAAGTAAACTAACAGCTGATTTTTTTTCATTTTTTTAACTATGCCTTTAAGCAATCCTGAAAATAGCAATTGAAGTGTGACAAATTACATTATAAAAAATATGCAAGTTAAATATATGTATGTATATTTTTATTTCAAGATAAAATAACACAAGTTATTAGAACTGCATTTGGCTTTTCAGAAGACACATAACTAAATTAGCTCATCGGAATGTACAGAAACATGATCATTTACATTCAACAATTAAACAACGGACATGGCACAAAGCCGATTATCAAATGAAGATTTAGATTGCAAAAAAAAAACAATAAATAAACATTTCGCTATATACAGTACTGTAATTCTTACAAATGCAATAGTACAGATATTTACATTATGTACACGTTCACATTGAGGACGTAAGGCGATTGTGCTGCATCTGCATGTTTAAAAAGCTTTTACTAAAAAACATAAAGTACATTCCCTGACTCTCTGAAGAGTTTAAGCTTCCTTATTTTCACCACAGTAGAATTAAAGTCGTAAATAATCATTGACTGCAAAAACAAAAGACTTTATGATAGTGATTATTAAGCAACCCCAATATCAATACCGCATATCAGACAGATTTCATTTACTGAGGTGTGTTTTTCAAGAAAAAGCAGTTTCCATGGAAGCCCGCCACTGAATAAAATAAATAAATAAATAAATACAACGTAAAAAAAAATTTAAGTCAGAATTTTGAGTTATAAAGTCACAATTCTGAGTTATTAAGTCAGAATTCTGAGCTATTAAGTCACAATTCTGAGTTATAAATTCTCAATTCTGAGTTTTTAAATTGGAATTCTGAGTTTTAAAGTCACAATTTTGAGATAAAAAGTAAGAATTCAGAGTTATTAAGTCAAAATTGCGAGTTATAAAGTCAGATTTGGGAGTTATAAAGTGAGAAATGCAAGTTATAAAGTTAAAATTCGAAGTTATTAAGTCAGAATTGCGAGTTATTAAGTCAGAATTTTGAGTTATAAAATCAAAATTCCAAGTTATTAAGTCAGAATTTCCAGTTATAAAGTCAGAAATGCAAGTTATGAAGTCAAAATTCCATGATATTAAGTCAGAATTGCGAGTTATTAAGTCAGAATTACGAGTTATAAAGTCAGAATTGCAAATTATTAAGTCAGAATTGAGAGTTAAATCAGAATTCCGAGTTATTAGGTCAGAATTGCGAGTTAAGTTAGAATTGTGAGTTTATGGTAGTTATTTAGTTAGAATTGGGAGTTATTAAGTCAGAACTGCGAGTTATTAAGTCAGAATTCCCAATTATTAAGTCAGAATTGCGAGTTATTAAGTCAGAATTGCGAGTTATTAAGTCAGAATTGCGAGTTATTAAGTCAGAATTGCAAGTTAAGTCAGAATTTCCAATTATTAAGTCAGAATTGCGAGTTATTAAGTCAGAATTGCGAGTTATTAAGTCAGAATTCCCAATTATTTAGTCAGAATTGTAAGTTATTAATTCAGAATTGCGAGTTATTAAGTCAGAATTACGAGTTAACTTATTATGTAACTCAAAATTGCAACTTTATAACTTAGACTTCCCATTTTATAACTCAGAATTTTAACTTTATAACTCAGAATTCTGATTTTATAACTTTTTTTTGTATTGTATTTATTTACTTATTTATTTAATTTTTACTCAGTGGAACTGGCTTCCATAAGTTTTAAATGCATTGCTGACCTAAGAATAAAAACAAGACATGTTTAGGAAAATAAACTTTGCACATCCTATGTCAGTAAATGTACTATCCTAAATATATTAACACATACTGCATCTTCAATTACTATACTGCATGAACCAAACAATACAAATGTTTTGGATAAAGGTTTTTGATGCCTCTGAAAACTTTTAAAATACAAATAAAAGCAACTCTTTAAAATGTACTAATACATACACTATCTACAATAACCTATGGACATCTGATAAGGATAAGCCCTCCATTTTTAAGTGCTGTTAAGTGGATTGCTATATAATTTCTATATAGTGAAGTGCTAAGTTGCCTTGATAAGCCGAGGTTCTTGTTGTTGTCTGAGGTTTCTTTGTTTTCAGTTTGGTTTTCCCTGAATTGTCAGCACTGGATTGTTGTTTTTTTGCATTGAATGTCTTGTGTGGGTGGAAAGGCGGTTTGGTTCTCTATTGTTCCCCAAATGCTGTTTTGCTGAAGAACTGACCTCCGTGTAGGTAAAAACTGTATAAACTGCCTCCAGTCTTGAAACATTGTCAGTTTCAGCATGGATCGTTTCAACAAGTTCATCATCAGATTTCATCATCCAGACTCACAGTCTGTCTCTGTGAAAGCCAAAAAAAGACCACAGTTATTAGACACAAGATTTTTGGGTTTATAATGTTAATATTATGCACTTCTTTAAAATAAAGTATCATACCTGAGGGTAAAAATAGCCATCAGAACTGTTGTTTCTGCATAAATGCACCTGGTCCTCTGTGGTCTTCTGATAAACCGGGTTGTCAAAGTGGATGCTGTTGGTATTTTTCTGACGCCATTTTCTCCAAAACAGTGCAGCGCCACCCACAACCAAACAGAGGAGTGCTTTAAGAAGATAAACAAAAAAGAAAATGACTTAGAATAGAAGTTTTGAGAGGAAAACACTAATACTTTAAAACACATAACAAATGAAAATTAGTTTGTGCTGTATCAACTGTTCATGTAAAATTTATATTTCACTTGCTTGCCTGTCGCGACACCATTAATTCATGTTACGATACTATACCAGCTGAAGTATCACGATACCAAGTAGTATTGCGATAACTCAATTCGTAACTCAAATTATATAAAAAAATCAGAAATACTATATTTTATGTTGTAATAGGTCTACTTGAAGTTAATTCATAATTGAAAAGTATTATTTGTACATCACTTCACCTAACATTTTTTTTTTTTTTGTAGATCTGATCAACAAAAAATACATTAAAACAAAGATAAAAATTATACCAAACTAAATTTGTTACAAAAAGAGCATTTTACAACACAATTAGACTATAAAAAGTGGTCAACATTTGATAAACTAATACTTTAATATGCATAACAAATGAAAATTAGTTTGTGCTGTATCAATTGTTCTTGTAGAATTTATATTTCTCTTGCTTGTAAGGTTGTCACGATACCATTAATTCATGTTACGATACTATACCAGCTGAAGTATAATGATACCAAGTAGTATTGCGATACTGCAATTCATAACTCAAATTATAAAGAAAATCGTCAGAAATACTATATTGTATATGTAATAAACTACTTGAAGTTAATTCATAATTGAAGAAAGAATTTTTGCACGTCACTTCACCAAAAATCTATTCTTTTTGTTTATTTTGTAGATATCTGACCAGCAAAGAATACATTTAAATAGAGATACAAATAAAACCAAATGAAATATGCTATAAAAAAACATTTTCCAATACAATTAGACACTATATGAGGTGGTCAAAAACTCTTTCAATGTTTCCTGGTTGCTATTTGGGGTTTTTAATCTATTGTTTGTTTGTTTTTCAGTCTTATCAGGCAAATTTGATTTTGTGAGTCGTTCTTTTTAAGAGATTGTCACAGTTGTTGTAGCTATTAAATCATACTGAAAGAAACAGAAATGAAGCGAGTCAGATGTGCTTTTGAAACGTCAGAATATGTGCCAGAGACTATTAAAATAAAACGGTCTATTGCTGCACAAAGACGTGAGCAATTTAGTGACTTTTCCACATGTAACATTATCTATTGTTGAAAAACCATTAGGCGACGCAGTGGCGCAGTAGGTAGTGCTAGGTAGTGCCTCACAGCAAGAAGGTCGCTGGTTCAAGCCACAGCTGGTGTTTCTGTGTGGAGTTTGAATGTTCTCCCTGTGTTCGTGTGGGCTTCCTCCGGGTGCTCCGGTTTCCCCCACAGTCAGGCGGTACAGGTGAATTGGGTAAGCTAAATTGTCCGTATCAGTGTGAATGAGTGTATGTGGATGTTTCCTAGAGATGGGTTGTGGCTGGAAGGGCATCCGCTGTCTAAAAACGTGCTGGATAAGTTGGTGGTTCATTCCGCTGTGGATTATAAAAGGGACTAAGCCGAAAAGAAAATGAATTAATAAATAAAGGGATATATTGTCTTGATTGGTGTTGTATATTAAGAAAAAATCTTGTAATGAACTGCCAGTACATTTTCTGTTATTTTACAGACTCATTTCTACTTTCTATACATTAAATCATTTTAAACTACTAAAATGTCAATAAAAGTCCCCTTGTTAAACTGTAGAGTTGAATTTTCAACATCAAAAGTCAACAGAGCAGAGCTCAAGGTCCCAAAATGGATCATTTTTTTACTGTGTACATACAGTTGAAGTCAGAATTAGTAGCCCCTTTCATTTTTTTTCTTTTTTAAGTATTTCCTAAAAGATGTTTAACTGTGAAATTTTCACAGTATGTCTGATTAATTTTTTTCTGCTGGAGAAAGTGTCATTTGTTTTATTTCGGCTACAATAAATATCAATATTATTAGCCTCTTTAAGCTATTTTTTCCCCGATAATCTACAGAACAAACCATCATTATACAATAACTTGCCTAATTACCCAAACCCCTCTAGTTAACCTGATTATCCTAGTTAAGCCTTTAAATGTCACTTTAGACTGTATAGAAGTGTCTTGAAAAACATCTAGTAAAATATTATATACTGTCATCATGGCAAAGATAAAATAAATCAGTTATTAAAATTATTATGTTTAGAAATGTGTTGAAAACATCTTCTTTCCGTTAAACAGAAATTGGGGGAAAAAAAAATAAACAGGGGGGCTAATAACTCTGACTTCAACTGTATATTAAAAACAGCCCAAAGAATCTGTATAACGCATTTTGTTCCTTAACCTAATAGTAAACAGTACCTGTTGGGAGCTAATGATGTGTTTATGTATAATTTGCGGTGTGTATAAGATGTGTGTCCACTTTTGGTTGTAACTTAAAAGAAAATCCACACTTTGCTGAAACACTTGAGCAACAACAATGCTACCAATGCTCTTGCCATTAATCTTACACTCCCCTAAACATGTGCCAAGTGTTTACATGAACATGACAGGCAGTGCTTTAAAAAAATACACTTTAATACCTATTTCGCAAGTTCACACCCACACAGAGAAAACAGATCAAAATAATAATAGTTGCCTTGTAAACACATTGCACCTGAGTGTAAAGGGATTGCCCTTATTGTAATGAATACATGTGTTGCTCCTACAGAAATTGGCTAAAATATATTAAATCAAAATTGAAAGCTTGATTCAGCCTTAATGTGTTAGAAATTAACCTTATCCTCTAGTGAAAATGATATTGATTTCAATTTAAAGTATACTTCATGAAGTACCTGAATTTGAGGGTCAACAGATACTGTACTGGCATCACAAATTCACATTTCACTTTTTTGCTGTAACTAATTTATCCACAACTTGGCAACCATGCCTTGGAGGGGGCATTGATTCACAAGTTAATCAAAGAAATATTTCATAACAGAGCAGACCAATATGATTTTAAGCTTCAACAATAATAGGCAAAAGGTTGTTTAAAGAGGTTTGAAAGTACCCTCATTTGTACAACACTAGCATGAAAGAATAGGTCAGGAGAGGCAAGTTGTCGCAATGCACATACATTGAATATCTATGTGTGCATATGAGTCAAAAGTACTTTGAAAGGCTGTATAAATGTAACAAAGTATACTTTGGGCTTTAAGGTCATGATAATTTAAGCTGATGTTAAACAGCTAGCGGTGACAAAAAAAGCAGACTGTGTTATCTCCTCACATCGTCCAAAAAGCAATGATTGAACACATGAATAGGACTAAAGATGACTGCAAACTAGCATGAGCATTCAGTGTCTTTGTGCAAGAGAAAAAGCTAGGGGTAAAGCCCTACAGGCTTATCGGTTGTTGTATAAGACTGATATTAGCTGTGTTATTTAGCGATTGTTATCTCAGAATAACAAAACTTTGAATGTCGCCAATAATTAAACCAATCATGATCAGGTATTCCAGACAGACATGTAATAACTCTCTATATCAATAGCTATAAGTTACGGGTGTCCAAACGCGTTCCTGGAGGGCCAGTTTCCTGTGAAGTTTAACTTCAACTTGCTTTAACACACCTGCCAGGAAGTGTCTAGTATATCTAGTAAGAGCTTGATTAGCTGGTTCAGGTGTGTTTGATTAGAGTTGGAGCTAAACTCTTCAGGACACCGGCCCTCCAGGATTGAGTTTGGACACCCCTGCTATAAGTAGTCTATATTCATTACTTAAATTGGGAAACTGACACTAGGACTGCAGATAGGCACTACAAACCGAACATAAACCAGCACTTCACTTTTTCATCACTTTTATTTTTTTTTCATTACCATTTTTATTCTCATGCATCTACTAGATTGCTAAACTGAACATCCGAAAGTGTGATATCTTTCTGTCAGTACTGCTGGTGGCTCGGATGAATTGTCGCCCATTTAATCCCTCACTTTTTTATAGTAAGTTGCAAGTAGGCAGTGCAATCAGCTTCCAGTCAATATCAACTACCTCTTTCAATCTAAAGTATGACATCACTATTTCTGTTTGAGGTGAACTAAAACTGAGCCCAACTCAATCGAGCTCTGGACCTGATTTGGAGTACTCACACTTGTCAAATGAACCGGGAAATACACCCCGACACAGTTTGCACAGCCTAGTGGGAGTACATCCTGATTGTAACTTTGTTGCCTACCTTCAGGCAGAGACTTTGGTGCTGTTTACACTATTGTGTTTTCCTTTTAAAATGCAGTTTCTAATGAAAACTCTCCTTGTTCAGACTGGCGTTTTTATTGTGCTATAGAAAAAAGTAATCTCTGTCCACAATAGGGGTGTCAAAATTAATTGTTTCTTCGGTGCACCTCGATGCAGATGCGGACAATTCGGTATCGGTTCAGTAATAATCATAACCGGTTATTATGTACTGACGTCATTTATCTCCTATGCTCTCTGTCGCGAGGGAGGTGAGCGCGAGTATTTACAACACTTAGCCAACTCAGGGCCGGCCCGTGGCATAGGCACCATAGGCAAATGCTAAGGGCGCTGTATATCCAGGGGGCGCCAGAAATGAGCGCGGTTCAGTTGGTTTTGTTTTCGATATTCCTGTCACACATTCAGTTATAGACAGCAATAACTCAAAAACCTCTTACCCTAAAAAAATCTAAAGTGTGTTTCCTACAAAAAGACAAAGCTGGTTATGTTTCAAAGCTGTCTTCCTTTTTTTCGCTCAACATTACGAGCACTGCTCCGTTTAAGTCCTCGCAATATGTGTTTAGCCGGGAGAGCTCGCGCTAAGAGGAGCTCTCAGTAAGGGACCGTCGAAAAGTGCTTCTTTTTTTTCATTTATTTTTTTTTTCATTTTTCTGCTCCGCTCAGCGCAAGCTCTCTCTGTTGCGAGGGCTTAAGTGTGTGTGTGTGTGTGTGTGTGTGTTTGTTTGTTTGGTGCTGTCTATGTTTGTGTATGTGTTTGAATGAGAGACAGTGTGGTGCTGTGTGTCTGTGTGTTTATACAAACAGCTTGTTATAGCCTCCCCCCTAAAATATAACACTGTATATGGAAAGCATCGTCAATGCACCGAGATATCAAATTGAACCAAATCGAAGGCATGATAATCGTAATCGAACCAAACTGTGACACCAGTATAGGTTCACACCTCTAGTCCACAATACACAAGCTAAAACACATAATCTATGACGATTCACACTGGCATTCATATTTGCAGTTCGAAAGACCAGTCATCCATTTCCAAAGATTTGCGTTTAAGTTTATATATACTGATACAGATTATCAGGATTTCAATGTCAGGATTCTGCCCCTTCAGTCTTGTTAATTCTTGTTTTGCTGGCAGAGTCCAGACCCTAGTCCTGTCTTGTCTTGTATGTTGTGCTCGGCTCGAGTTTTCTCAGGTCGAGTACTCATTTTCTGTCATTGTGTGTCTTTTTGTATGAGCACCGTCTCAGCCACTTGATGCGGGTGTGCGATGTCTGGGCTGCTTGCGACACGCGCTCTCATCCTGGTGTTTGTTCTGTCTGCAGCGTGGCGTTTCATTCCCAGCATCTCAGTCTAGTGTGTTTCGGTTTTGGTTGGCGCCGGCATGAAACATGCAAGTTGCGTGTGTGAGTGCACGGTGAGTGTTTTCATTTATCGTGTACTCGTGTCTTGCGCTCAGTCCTCTATTGGTGTTGTGTTTAGCACGTGGTTCATGTTTACATGCGCTGTGTCCTTTAGTGTCTCATGTGAACACGCAGGTAATAAGTTCTCTCTTGAGTTGAGTCTCACTTTAATGATTTCTAGTCTCATTTTATGTGAGCACATGGCTTGTGTTGTTTCTTTGTCATGTGCATGTCCTGTCTATACTCCCACCTTCCTTGTTAACCCATTATATAACCCTTTTGTTTTATTTTAATTATTAATGAATCATCTTTTGTTGCACTTCTTGCTACATCATCCTTCCTGACAGACTGTGACATTTAATAAATAAAACTAGATCTTCAGTGTTTTTAAAACTCTCAGTGTTCATCCCAAAGTAGTGTGGATGCCAGAAACAAAACGAAAACACATTAGTGTAAATGGCACATGTGTCAAAAACACATCCATTATACCAGAGGTGCATAACCCTGTTCCTGGTGATATACCTTTCTGCAGAGTTTAGCTTCAACCTGATCAAACTCAACTAAACCAACTAAGTAGGATCTGAAGAAGCACCTGGTAATTATAGACAGGTGTGTTTGATCAAGGTTGCAGCTGAACTCTGCAGGAAGGTAGATCTCTAGGAACAGGGTTGGGTACCCCTGCATTACACCTTTAAATGCTTTTTTAGTTACCTCACAAGGTACCTCACATCATATCTCTACATGGTCTCTTAGTATTTAGATTGAAGTACTCACCAAGAGGAACCACAATATACAAGGCCCACAGTGTGGAAGATGACGTATCAGAGACAGCCTTAACATCACCAAAGTGGACATCTAATAGAGAAATCACAATTTGTTTTCACAAATTACAGATTCACTGTAATATCTTTGAGTAGGGGTTCAAGAATTTCTGAGGTCTTGAGTTCAGGTTTGAGTTTCTTCAGTGGTAAAGCAGGACATACCTGTCTGGGTGAAAAAGGGAAGTTTAGTTGTGGCCTGTGAAGGCACCAAAGTGGCAGCTTGAGTGGGTCTGTTAGGGATCTTGGGAGCCGGAGTAGGTAAAGGTTGTGAATTGGTAGTGGAAGGCCTAGCAGGTTTTGGTGTCGTTTCTGAAGGAACTTGAGGACGAATGGTTGTGGGTATTTCAGGCCTGACAGGAGTTGCAGCTGTCACTACAGCTGTTTAAAAGAAAAACAAAAATTTTGAATGTAGGAATCGGTATCCTGTAGGAATTGAAAATCCTAACAACAATTACTAAATTTGACTTGCCTGGTACACATTTCCGCATATCTCTGGCCAACATCATATTATCTGGACAGGCACATGTGTATTTGGGTGAGAATCTGTTAATCTGAGGGGCAGCAAGGCACAAGAACTCACAGCCACCGTTATTGATCCTGCACCAGTTGATTCCTGGGAGGACATGAAGAATAAAGAAACCAACTTAGTTAATAGTGATTCGGAAAGTACTCTAAAGGCAAATTTTTGATTATTCTCTGGCTAACACACCAGTAGGTTGTTTGAGGTTGTGGAAAAGAACAATGTCCTCTGGAGATGAGAGGTGTTCGGCCACTTTTGTGATGTCTCCTCCGGTGACGCGGTTCGCACTTAAAATGGCGTTATTGCTTACATCCGTCCAAAACACTTTCTCCTGAAGATGAGGAAAGCTTGGGTGAGCATTGAGGGTTACTCCTAAACAAGGTGTCTTTTAACAAGAACTTCCCAAATACATACCTCAAAAACAGTGAGACTCAGAGGGTGCGCAAGTTTGCCTTGGTCAATGATTAGAGTACGCCGACCATCTCCCTGCACACTGATGCTGGAAAGAGTATGGAGTTTGGAGTCAACCCAGTACAGACGCTCGGTCAATAGGTCTAGGAATGAGAAAGAGTGAGAACAGTGATCACACTTAAGTTACCATTTTGTCAACAGTTAGCATGCTTGTGGGTAAGTTCATACCTAGGGTTATTCCATTGGGCCACACAATGTCGTCCGCAACTAGAGTGCTCCGGTCAACTCCATTAAGACCACTTTTTTCGATCTTGGCTGGTGTGCCCCAATCGGTCCAGAACATGAAGCTACAAAATATTAGAGAGAAACTAACGTTTAACCGCATACTTTCAGTCTAGATTTTAAATCTGCATAAACTAGAAGTTGCTGAGTAAGTAAAAAAGTAAGTAATGCGACAGCAGCTACAAGACAATGGCGCCAGTGCGCTCACCACACACCAGTTATAGGGGGAGTGGAGAGACAGTGATAAGGCCAATTCGAGAGATGATTGGGAGGCGATGATGGGTAAGGGCCAATAGAGGAAATTTGACCAGGACACCAGGGTTACACCACTGCTCTTTACGAAAAGTCCAATGGGACTTTTAATGACCACAGAGAGTCAGGACCTCGGTTTATAGTCTCATCCGAAAGACAGTGCTCACTGACAGCATAGTTTCCCCTTTACTATACTGGAGTAGTAGGACTCACACAGACCACAGGTTAAGCGCCCCCAACTGGTCTCATTACACTTCCAACAGCAACATAGCTTTTCCATGTGGTCTCACATCTAGGTACTGACCAGGCTCAGCCCTGCTTAGCTTCAGTGAGTAACAGGTTATGGGCTGCAGGGTAATATGGCTGTGGCTTTTGTTTATGTACTTTCAACTGAATCAGAATATTGTGAAGGAGCAGGGCTTTGTTTTTGCATGTCATTCCCTCATTGCAAACTAAAAGTAAGAGGGGCATGGTTAAGAATATTGTGGCTGAAGCCATCAAACTGACAAAAAACAGAAGAACTGACACTCCAAACTAGGAAGACATTAGTCAGACTTTGATTGAAGATTACCAGAACAATTTTTGTTTTCAGTTGATTAACTTCCTCAGATTCATTGAACAACTATTGAATAACTATGTGCGCTAGCAAAAAAAAAAACAATATAAATTCTGTTTTTATGTGGACTTTAAGAGGTGACATACTTTTTAATTGGGTCGACAACAATGGCACGTGGTTTGGCCAGGTTCTCTTTGAAGAGCGTCTTGCGTCTGCTTCCGTCAGCTGTTGCCACAGAGATGGCGCCCCTGATGCTGTCCGTCCAGTAGATGTTTCCATGGATCCAGTCCACTGCGATACCTTCTGGTGCATCTAAGTCACTGCCAACCACAATGCTGTGTTGGGATGAGTTGTCCGCTGTATCCATTGGGGCTCTGGAAATGAAGAGCTGATACAATTACACCAGGCACCAGTCTGTTCGGTTACAAGCAAATGATTTCCACACGTCTGTTTGATGAAGATCTTCAAAGATCTTTTTACCTGTATATTTTTTTCAGGGATAAATCCGACCAGTAGATATCTCTGGAAGCAATATTCATGTCTAGTGCAACAACGTTCTTCAGGCGGGGGATGACGCGTATGTATTCACTGCGATCCAGAGTCATCTTCCTTACTTCATGGCGATTGGTGAAAAATAGGTAGGCGATAGTTCCTGTTGAAATATATATTAAAGTTTGAGATTGTCAGATTGAGGCCATATTAAAAGTCCAGGTGGATGGGTAAAACTTGTACCAATAGCTTTGCAGGCCTTGCTGGCTGGGTCCATCTGGTAGCCATCCTCACACTCACACTTATAACTACCCATCTGGTTGACACAGATTTGGCTGCAGGTGTCTGGGTTGGCACACTCATCGATGTCTGAAGAAATCAAATAAAGTTAAAGGGTCGTTTTGTTGCATCAAACTGGTGTCTGTAAAATCACTAAATCATTGAAGTTAGCAAGCATGTCAACTCACTAAGCAAACTCAAAGCTTATATCCAACTTTTAAAAAGCAAACAAATTTAAAGTCTAAATTCAATAGTTGTTTGAACTGGATCAGCACAAATTTCTGAGGTGGCACGTACTTTGAACCATTTCAGTATGGGAACCAATTTCAGTTTCTTACCTTCACAGCGTCTCTTGTCCACCAACCGGAAGCCAGTAGGACATAAGCACTCATAACCAATCTTCAGGTCATTACAGATATGAGAGCAGCCACCGTTGTTGTAAAGACACTCATTAGAGTCTGTGAATTGGGAAAAATGTATATATTGTAGATCTTTTTTTAAAGTTAATGCACTTACAAAAATGAACCATGGTTTTATTGCAGTAACTAAGGAACCAAAAAATGAACTACAGTTTTGCTACGACATTTTAAGAAAACCATAATGACAACAAAATGATTCATGGCTTTACTATGGCATTTGAAGTAAAATCATAGTAACTACAAGTTGAACCATGGATTTGCTATGGAATTTGAAGCAAAACTATAGTATCTATAAAATGATCCATGGTTATACGGTGGCATTTGAAGTAAAACCATAGTAACTATAAACTGAACCATGGATTTACTACGGCATTTGACGAAGAAAAAAGTACCTACAAAAAAAACATGGCTTTACTATAGGATTTGAAGTAAAACCATAGTAACTACAAATTGAACAGTGGTTTTACTATGGTCTTTGAAGTAAAACCACAGTAATTATAAAATAAACCATGGTTATAATAAGACATTTGAGGTCAAATCATAGTAGCTAAAAATGAAGCTTAGTTTTACTATGGCATTTGATGTAAATTATAGTAACTACAAATTGAACCATTGTTTTAGTACAGCATTTGAAGTAAAACCAGAGTAACTACAAAATGAAGCTTAGTTTCACTATGGAATTTAAAGTGAAACCATAATAACTATAAAATGATCAATGGCTTTACTGTGGTATTTGAATTAAAATTATAGTAACTATAAATTTACCCAAGGTTTTACTACACAAATATAAACAAAAAAAACAAGTGAAACCATAATAACTAGAAAATGAAGCTTAGTTTTACTATGGCATTTGAAGTAAACCATAGTGACTGTAAAATGATCCATGGTTATACTACAGCATTTGAAGTTAAACCATAGTAATTAAACCATGACCCATGATTTTAATGAGGTATTTGAAATAAAACCAAAGTAACTACAAACTGAACCATGGATTTACTATGCAGAAAAAAACATAGTAACTTTAAAACCATAGTTCATTTTGTAGTTAATAAATAATTATAAATAAATAATTGTAATAATAATTCAGTTAAATCCACCATAGTAAAACTATGCTTCATTTTATGCATCATTATTTGACAATATTATACAGTACAATATTAAAAACGATGGTCTCAAAACCACAGTACGCACCAAAAAAACATTGTTACTACAGTCATATGGACTACAGTTTCACTATAGTAAAACCATGGTTTGTTTTTGTAAGGGTATGTAGACCAACTACCGACTCGGTTTCCCTGGTACTTACCACATTCTCGTAGCGGCTCATCAGACCAATCCCTGCAGTCCCGTTGCTTGTTGCAAACCTTTTCCATGCTTATGCATTCACCGCTGCGGCACTTAAACCTGTATGGTGGCTCACAGTGAGTTGCTGAAAATCGGGAGAAGAGAAATTTTAGTAACGCATATCAGGAAAAGACATAAAGCGTATGTTTTGACTATCATATCTGTCTGGTTCACCATTGACGCAGCCCAGCTCATCGCTCATGTCTTTGCAGTCATAAACGTGGTTGCACTGCCGACTGCCGTGGATGCAAGACCCATCACCACACTGGAACTCATCTGGACGGCATGTTGGCAAGGCTGTTCATATGGAAAAAGCAAAATAGTTTATTATCTCTTAATGAAAAATGACTTGCCTGATGCTTTTAAGTTATGTGGGAAGACAAATGTATTAATAAGCATTTTATTGTTTACTTTGTTATTTCTCCACACACTGTAAAATCTCATTGGCCCAAAATCCTGCTCCTACTTTTTGTACATTAAATATCAGATATACATTCTGCATGCATTATGCATTTAGAACTTGTACTGTTTTCATCTGGTATCATCATGCATTCAAATGCACTTCTTGGGGCTGCTTGAGTACACATTTTGTTCACACAGAAGCAAAAAGTGCAACATAAGAAGCATGAATACCTTCTTTTTAATGTGCTTTCTTACAAGACGTCCCATAACGATAACATGTTATAGATATAAATAAAACTTATGTACTTATGTAAGGGGATCAAAGAGAACATTTATTAATATGGACTTTTTAGGTACAAACGTGAACTATTGAATAGGCCTAGGCTACTATAATAAAGAAAATTTGCTAAATAAATAAATAAATACTCTTGACACATGAAAGTGTAAAGCCTGCAGCTCACAACAATGGTAGAAAGTTATTGCGTTTATTATTTAATAAACTGTTTACTATGAATTTTAAGTAATTTAGCTCACGCGGATAATTGAATATTAATCAGATGATGTCATTACGCTACTGTGCCATCAGCCAATCGTTGGATTGCTGATCATAGTTTCGAGGATCGATAGATATGTCCTTCGCAACACATTAAGCGATCTCAGATCAGTTTATTCAGAAATTTTAATCTGATTTGCGAACTTGTTTGAAGAAACAAATTAGCCAGAGATCAGTTATCAAGATTAACAAATCCAGGATCTGTCAAATTATCTTAGATCATTTAAGCGAGGTACGAAGAATGGACCCCAGGTGTAAACAGAGATGTGCATCGGGTCAGTTATCTGTTTATTCAAAATATGTTCTGTGACGAGTATGGACTTTAAAATATGACAAAACAACCTGAATTTGAATTGTGTTAATTTGAATTATTAACAATTTATTTAATAAAACTGAATATTATATGCCATTGAAAATTGTTATGAATTTGAATTTCTTAAATTGAATATTTTACATCTGAAATTTAAGACAACTGAATTTTCCTATGGCAGATTTTTGTAGACATACTTTCACACTTGACTGCAGATATCCAGTTGTACTAATACAGTTTCAAGTTTTCTAAATCAAGAAATTCTGAAAATCAAATCAATATTCCAGAATTCAAAACCTGAAATTCAGATTGTTGCGTTTCATAATTTAATAATTAAACTACCATGGATGAATGAAACTCTAGTTCTGCATCATTATTCAAGGTAATTCCTGCAGATTATTTCACACAGATATTCCCTGGTATGCTTGTGGATACCATCCAGTGATAATCGGCATGTCACTTCGAGCTTAACTCGTATGGAACATTATTTTAACAAGTGCTTGATGACAAATATAAGATCACATTTCATTTCTTACAGCAGTTTTGCTCATCCGAGTGATCCAAACAATCCGCTCCTCCATCACACTTCCAGCTACCGTGTATGCATTCCCCACTTCCGCAATGGAACTCCATGGAAGTGCAGGGATTTTTGGTGGGCTTAGATGTTCCAGGGCCACATTTTTCAGGCAACTCATCTGAATTGTCGGCACAGTCGGCATCTCCATCGCACACCCAGAGTCGTGGGACACACTGGGCGTTGTTGCACCTGAAGGAGCTGGAGCCACACGTGGTTGGAGGACAGGAGACTTCATCACTGCCATCTTCACAGTCTATCTCATCATCGCACACGAATGCAGCCGTAACGCACTGACCACTGCCACAACGGAATTCTCCATCGTGACACTGCCGAGGATCTATAAACAACAGTATAGATTTAAACTCACATGAATGCACTCAAAATTTGCTTTTGCTGCTTGTTTAAACAATTTATTTGAAATGAGTTGAAACACCACAAAATTTATGTTTTTTAGGACACGTTTTATGTTTTATGTTCAATCTACTTAAATTTGTAAGAACAATTAAGTTAACTTAATCGATTTGTGTTGGGACAACATGTAGGAATTGTGTGATCTTTACATATTGTGTGATCCCACATCTTTACAGTGTATAATTGAGTAAGCTACTTCAAAAATGTAACCAATTAGTAATTACGTCATTAAAATTTTATTTAAATGACTTTCCTAATTTCTTTGAATAAGAACATAATTTACCAGATAAGTAATTTAATCACTCATTTCAATTCTATAAAATTTAATTTAACCATGACCTTCCAGTTTTACTTACTTTTAAAATTAACACTTAAAAATGTTAAACATTTTATGTATCAAAACACTTCAAATTAATGACACCATATTTATACTTATATATATATATATATATATATAATTTATACACAATGCACACAATATTATCACGTTTATGTCATTGTTTCGTAAGCACGTGCAATCGCACAAGTCCAACCTTCATTAGTTGAAAAATTGGGTTATCATGGATAATACAGTATGTGAATAACAGCAACACATATATAAAATTGTTCTGTGAATTTATTCCATACATTTTTAGCTAATTTCACCCTCAGTTTATTTTTGTTCTTAAGCATGTGCAATTGCCTTGATAAATATAACCTTCTTTAATTGAGAAATAGAATTTGAGTTTAGACGCAAAAACCTCTAAAGGAGGAAAATAAAATTTTCTTCAAAAATGAGCATTTTTCTCAGGCTCCTGTGTGTGGGTTCAGTAATTTCACTTTTATGGCAAATAATATGTTCTTTTCACGTTTTTAAAAATGAAATACCCTAACATAAACATTGGAGTCAACATAGAAATTTCAGATGGCACTTAGAGGTTTTCCATCTTAACTCTTCAATTATTCAGCAAACTATTTTTGTATGACAGAAATTCCATTCCTCTGCTTCTCTGAATTAATTTACACTACCTGACAAAAGTCTTGTCGTCGATCCCAGTTGTAAGAGCAACAAATAATAACTTGTTTTCTAGGAAAAGTGGCAGAATGATGATTTTTCAGATGAATCATCTGTTGAGCTGCATCCCAATCATCACAAATACGGCAAAAGAACTATTGAAATCTGCATTGACCCAAGATTCTCACAGAAACCAGTCAAGTTTGGTGAAATAAAAATCATGGTTTGGGGTTACATTCAGTATGGGGCGTGTGAGAGATCTGCAGAGTGGATGGCAACAGCAGCAGCCTGAGGTATCAGGACGTGTGCTGCCCATTACATTACAAACCACAGGAGAGTTCAAATACTTCAGCAGGATAGCGCTCCTTCTCATACTTTAGCCTCCACATTCGCCAGCCCAGTCACCAGACATGAACATACTTAAGCATGTCAGGGGTAAGATGAAGGAGGAGGCATTGAAGTGTCTTAATGGACTCCCAGATGACTTTATTAATAAGTTGAGTCATTGCAGAGATATGTGGATGCAGTCCTCCAAGCTCATGGGAGTCAGACACAATATTAATTCTGTTTCCACTGCACCATGACTTTATATTCTATACTGTACATTATTTCTGTTAAGTGACAGGACTTTAGTCTAAGCACAGTCAGACCTTAATGTCCTAATTAAATAATTAGAAATCAAGGCATGATCATATTTTATTTAGGTAAAATAAGCGTAATCTAGAGGCCTTTGCCTTTCATAAGCCACTATATGAAATCTGATACCAAATGATCAACTAGAAGTCAAATTGTCATTTGTTATTCCTAAAACTTGAAGATGCTAAAAGACTTTTGTCAGCTATTGTTTACAAAACTGTTATATTTTTATTGTTATATATTTTTATATATATATATATATATATATATATATATATATATATATATATATAGGTAACACTTTAAAATAAGGTTCATTAGTTCATGCATTTAATCATGAACAACACATGTACAGCATTTATTAATCATGATTGAACATTTACTAATGCAATATTAGCATTCAAGTCCATGCTTGTTAACATTAGTTAATGCACCATGAGTTAACATGAACTAACAATGAACTACAGTATTTTCATTAACTAACGTTAACTAACATGAACAAATACAGTAGTAAATGTATTGTTCAATGTTTGTTCATGTTAGTAAATCCATTAATTAACATTAACTAATGAACCTTATTGTAAAGTGTGACCTATATTAATGCCAGTACATTATATGTAATGGTAATTACATTTTTATTAACTAAAATAAAAAGTAAACCCACTCTTTACTTTTTTCAGTGGAAAGGTAATTTAGTAGCTAATATTAATTAATTATTTTGTAACTAATTCCACCAAACAGTGATCTGAAGCATTACTAATATATATATGACTTAAAGATGTGGCTCACCGCAGCCTTCCTCATCCGCATTATTCTCACAATCTGCTTTTCCGTCACATTTCCAGCTCTTGGGAATACACTGGTTTAGTCGACCACCACAACTGAACTGACTGGGTCTGCAGGTCTTGGCCACTGAAACAGATTTAAAATACAAATTAATACCATCTTTAAATTTTCTGCGAAAAAAAGCGAGTGGTATAGGAATGTAGAATATAACCATATGCCTTAATTTCAATTCCATCTAACACTGGATATTTAATTGTGAATGATCTGTTCTTTTTTAGGTTTTTACACTTTCACACTTAAAGACCCACAAATTATAGAATTTTTTTGGTGGGGGGCGTTGTAGTTGGCTATGGCAAACAAAACGCCATAGCCAACTACTGGCCTGACATATAACCCTGTGAAGATGAATTGTATTGATAATGTTGTCATCCAAATGCAAAAGTTTTCAGAAATGCAAAACAATAAGAAAAAGTTTGCTTGTTTTCAGTAGATTACTTTTGTTGAAACATGCTCTAAATATCATGCATATTTAAGGAAATCACTATATAGCAAACGTATTTTAATAGAACAAGTATTTCAGCCACTAAAAAGTGCATAGAATTTTTTTAATTGCACATTAAACACATTTAAATACTTTTACTAAAATTACTTCCAACTCTATTACTGCATGCACTGTAATAGTATCTTTGCCCCTGCACACTTTCTTTGTTTGATATTTAGTTGTGGAAAGACTTACAGCATGCAGCAGGAAGTTCATCAGTGCCATCACCACAGTCATCAGTTTCATCACACACCCATCTCGCCGTGATGCACTTTCCATTGCCACACTGATACTGCCGTGAATCACAAGTCAAGGCACCTGTTGGAAGGAGAAATACTGTAAGTGACACATTCTCCTTGACTAAGGGTGCCGTACGCTAATTATTCCAAACTATGCTGATACTTAAAAAACTAAACAAACACGCCTCGTCCGTTGTGATATATGCGCTATTAATAAAGGACACACCCCAACTGCTGATTGGCTGATCATCTGTTTTGGGACTCAGCCTGACACTGCTGTCAAAATGGTTTTTTTAAATAATTGTTCACCAATTCACCCATAACTGATAACTCTGTCCTCATTTTCTCCAACTTGGGCTTATTCCAAAACAGGTAAAAAAAATTTGTTTCCATGTTGCATGGTTTATTAACATTCATTAAAAAGCCTTCTTCTTTTGTGTGCAACAGGATTTTTTTTTTTTACCTCAAAGCCAAGTAAATGATGGCAGAATTTTAGTTTTGTGTGAACTATCCCTTTAAATGCACATTTAGTCTTTCTATTAAACATAATTGAGGTTGCATCAAAGACAACAAGCTAAATTATTAGATGACAATTGCTAAATAAATTTCTTTTATGGTGCACATTAAAATCTTCCTAAGGGCTTACATATAAACATTACAATATACTCAGCCTATTGCTGATTACAGTACATTATCAGTTTCAACAAGTCTAGGCAAAGATGGTGTCAAGTATTTCCTGCTTTGTAAACCAATATGAAGCACTGTGCTGATAACAATTACAGGGTTGATGCAGGTTTCATCAAGTCAAATTTAAGACTTTTTAAGACCCTTTTAAGACCATTATGAATGAACTTTTAGACTTATACAGGGTTAGTGATTATTTCTAATGGCCTGGTTGGTCTAATGGAATTTTTTTTATTTTGCTTGCCACAAATTTTTTTTATTTCTTAGCAACATACTTTAATTTGTCAAAACAAGAAAACTCTAGTTGTTTCAACATACTATTTTTTTTAAATGACAAGTTTAACATTCTTAAAAGTATATTTGTTGTGGAGACAATTACAAACATAATCAAAAATATATCATGCATTTCTTATGCGTTTCTGTTATAAATCCTTAAGTTTCATATTATGTTTACTTCTTCTTAATTCTATAAAGAGTTTTCTTTGAATAGAAGATAATGTAAAGGCATATATTGCTCTGTTATTATCGTGAGAAACTGTAGTTTTAGTTTTCTTTCCCTGATTAGGGAAATTCATTTCGACATCGAGTATTTGCTTTAAAAATTGCCTAACAGCTATTGTGAATTGTATCTCTTTGCAATAAAAATCCTAAATAATAAAAAAAGGTTATATTACAATGGATTGTTGGTGATTGGATGGAAGTGGACCCAATCAGGTAGCTTTAGTTGGACAGAGAAAAATGAACAACACACAATATTTCACAGAATTTAAGGCCTAAAATTTAGTTTTTAAAATTTAAGACTTTTTAAGACCCCATGGACACCCTGAATTATAAACATTTAATTATTACTGTAAAGTATAGAAGTTTATTTCTGACATGGATTGCAACTTTTCAATTGCTACGTAGCAGAGAGGGAACCATCAGGATCCTCAGAAGTCATCAGAAAGTTCGCTACTACATTTGTATAAAACGGTGATATCACAAACACAGATAATAAACAAAAGCATCGAGCACCTTGATGTCATAACATCATCAAAAATGCAAATCGATTTGATGTCAACTGACTATCTTATTGTCAAAATGACATCAAATTGACATCTAATATTAGCATAAAAACAGGTCAGAAAGTGGCCAATGTTAGATGTCAATTTGATGTCGTGTTGACATCAAGGTAGTTTACATGCCTTGCATGGATATAAAATCCAGTGTACATTTGGAATTGACGCTTTCAGATGAATAAAACTTTTAATATTTTTGGTGTCATTATTTTGGAGGTCAAAAGGGCATCAATGTGTGGATGTCAAATGAACGTCAACATCTTGACATCAAATCAGTTTTCATGTTTGACACGTTTTTTGATGTCAACGTCAATTTGATGTCGTTTTGACATCAAGGTACTTGCTCTGGATCTACTTGTCACCAGCTGAATCTAAAAAAATGGCTGACGTTTAATGAAAATACTAAGAAACTGTAAACCTATGTAAACGTAATGTAGTCATAAACATTGATAATTCAATTGAACACAAGACACCTATTCTCTCCAAGCAAGCAGTTGTGTTACTCAAGCGGACCTGTTAAAAGTCATGTGACGTTCATTATAGTGTATTAAAGTTATGAAGGGAATAATGATGCATAGCAAATGCTCTTTTGATGGCTTTACCCCACGGCTCAGTGCATCTGGGTCACCATTTCTGAAATAAGTGTGGAGGTCACAAATCAACTCAACCACAGGTTTTATTTTAGAAAGAATGACATATGGAAAGCATTTCAAGAATTTTCTTTTACAAACTATTTTGAGGGATGTACACAACATCTTAAATGGCTTACGTAGATAAACAACTGATGTATTAAGATGATTGTCTTTATAAGACAAATATTAAACGCATTTAGAGTTAATAACCTCAAAGAAAAGCTCAAACATCAAGCAGTACAGTTCATTATTGCCGTAGGACGTAGAAAATTATTAACTTATATTGACCATTTCAAACTGAGCTCATCCAATCAGCATTCAGAGGCAGATCAGTCCATTTTATAATTCAAATGCGAACACAAAGTGATTAATGATTACACAAAGTTCACATTCAGAGTAGTCTTATCTGTATCAAGAGACAAAGCTTCCCTTCTGTTGATATAAAACGTCATCTCTTCATGGCACCATGTACTACTCATTGTTTACTGACACGGTTAAAGATGGTGGCCACAAAGCAACTTGGCTTTTTTGCTTTGTGTCTAATTATCTAGACAGACTACTATCAAGTCATCTTCACGGCGGAGTCAATGATTTTAAGGCCAGTAAATCTAGATCAAATACACTGCCTTGAAATCTGCAGTGCATCATAAATGATAAATGCTCAAATGTCTTCAAGAAAAGTTGTGGGCTTTGAGAAGGTTATCTTATCTTTTGAGAGGTTATTTGCAATGCATCGTTCTTGTGCTTCACTAGAGTCTGCGTGACACTGTATGCACGTGTAGACTGATTTCTTCATGGAGTTATCTGCGCTATCTGCAGGTAAAAGTAAAAGGCCAACATGTGTAGTGCACATGGGTGAATCCTACAAAACCTGTCACAAATGGTAAAGTCTAGATAGGATGCTCGGCCGGCCGGAAGTGTGATATGCACATCAACAAAGCAGCATTTATTTATGACACTGTATAACAATAATTCATATGTTTACAGTACTGTGACGGTTGGGTTTAGGGTTAGGGCAGGGGTAGACATTAAAAAATACAATTTATTAGGTAATTTAATAGATAACATAAACAATACTTGGTACAACTACTGTTTTATGTTACTGTGATGGTTGGGTTTAGGGTTGGGGTGGGGGGTAGACGTTAATAAAATACAATTAATGGGAAATTTAATAAATAACATAAATCTTTTTTGTTAACTTCCGGCCGCAACCATATCTGATCTAGCAACAACTGTCACAAACATGTACAAGTTGCACAAAAAACAATAAACTAGACTAACTTAAAGCTCTGACCTTTTGGTGTTTATTAATAACCGTGTCACTTTTGTTGTTCATGGTTAAAAAAAAAAAATCATAACTAAGAGAATAAGACATTTAGAGTCTCTCCTGTGAAAGTTTACTAATAATTTGAGCACATCAAATGTTCCATTCAAGTTTATTTGTGTAGCGCTTTTCGCAGTAATTATGTTCCAAAGCAGCTTTACAAATGGTGCACATTGCATATTACAACGCAATTAAGTTAACTATGCATGTTCAGTTAAATAGGCAAGTCATTGGACAACAGAGGTTTATTCTGTAGCCAATCGAAAAAGGAGGCTAATAATATTAAACTTCAATATTAAATTAAAATGCATTTCAAATTTGCTTCTTTTGTAGGCGAACAACAAGAAATTAAACCTTCTCAAGAAGAAAAAACATAACATGAAAGTGGAAAAGAATATGTCTGAAAACACTGTTCATTAAAAAAAGGAATACGCAATCTCATCTTATACAGTGTACAATGGATACGTCCATTGGCTATTTTGGGGCTTTTTTGTTCACCAGGTAGCACTAATTAATTTAATATAAAATACATCAATTTATAATAAAGAAAAAAACATCATTGAAATGAAATGAATTAGATTAATTTCAAATTAATACAATTGTGGTCTTCAATGTTCAGTTTTGACAACACAACATTTGCAATATCATAGTGTCAAGCACCCTCTGCCAATATATATATATATATATATATATATATATATATATATGCATTTTCTCAAAAATAAATAAATCAAAAGAAAGATTTAGGTGTGATTTGTACATATTTTCAAGAGATGCACTGGCATAACCTTAGCGTACACTTGAAACAGTTAAACAGCTCCAATAAACTAATTACATCTAAGAATAATCTAGAGATAATGCATATCTATAACTATACCAAAACAAACTGCTAACACACTAATAACCTACATGTATATGTTTTTATTGTGTTTAATTTTTTTTCCTAGAATACAATAGCAATTCAAATCCTCCACAACAACAGTCCATCAATCCAGAAACACGTAACAAAATAACTTCATAACAGCCATTATATTCGATATATCGAATATATTATACTAAACCAGTTTTCATAACTGTCCAAATGAGTAATGCATGCATCTGGGAAATAAAGGTTTGGATATAGGAAACCAGTTTTTTTGGTGAATGCATTGGATTTACGGTACTCCTGTCCTTCTGACATCACACACTGCAAAAGACTTCTGGGAAATTCATGTGGGAAAATACTATGGAATGAGGCCCCTATAGCTGAGACATGAGGACAGCAGCCTATATGCACATGTGCTTACTCTGAGCCAATATTGTTTTGCCCTACTTATAGTGAGTTTTAGTGAGAATTAATTCATGTCGAGCATGTTGACTTTGGTATACATTGCAAAACAGTCCTTAATAAATGTAGTATCGAATGTTAACACTAAACAGTTACATCAGAATATATAGATAAACGTATTAAAAGTAAGAAAAGAGGAAATACTTATATTATTAAGTCCAAAAATGAGGATATACAATTACATACAAACACATTTGTGGGAGAAAAATAACCACAATACTGAAACTTTTTTGGTTATTACATATTTAGCCCACTAATTCATATAGACCGAAAATATAAGCCTTCAGCATGTGAGAAATATGGAAATTACATATTTTTTTGGAATTAAAATGTATACAGAGAGACAAATAATAAGTATGAACGATTATATTAAACAAATAAACGTATTAAAATAATTACATTTTCCGAACCAAAAGGTAAACTTGTTTACTCACCTGACTGAACGGGACAGAATAACGTAACCGCCAATAAAAGCATGAATGAGATCTCCATAGTCTCTAAGCGAGCTGTTTAAAGCCCTCGTTTCTCTGTTAGTTCGGTGTTTACTGGGTATATGTGAGGTAAATAAATGGTTGTGATGAAAAGGACGGACTCTTGCTCATCTGAAGCTGCGGGGAAATGTGTACTTCACAGACGGTGAACGCAGGTATTTGTGTTGCACTTGAACTTGAACTATTCGAATTTGAACGGGGGTGCGCGAGTGGGCGGGGTTTCGTGACGTAGCGGTGGGATTCGGTGGTGTGATTTAAGAGTTTCGCAATCAGGGGCGTGGCTAAAGGGCATCCATCCCAAACAATTCCTCTCATGCGAGTTTCCAGGTATAGAGAGACTTTCAGCTACTCGGCTTATCATTTATGGCGGGGGAACAATAACAGTGCGTAAAACGTGATCTGATAATACGCATAAAGCTAATTTATCTAGACGAGTTGTAAACAGGTACATCTGGCCAGTCCTTTCACACGAATCTCTCAAGGCTGATTTATGTCATAAAGCAAAATAATATAGCCTATCATTAATCTAAATAAGGCTACATCCGTGCTTTTGTGACCTTGACATATCTAATAGGCTATATTATGATCATAAAAGAGTAGGCTACATTCACAGCAGCCATTTTAGAAATGTGAAATAAAAACATGACCCTGCTACACCTAATAAGTGTAATTACAAGCAGTAATTAAGTTAACGTTAACTAACGTTTAACTGGTCAAATTAGCAGCCATGTAAAAACAAAAAAAGCACTCAATGTCCAGCCTTGAACTACTGGTCCAGACGTCATCAGAACACACTCTTCTTAAAACCAGAACTGGGACGCTTACCAAAACAATTCAGTGTTGCACTGTCATTTTCCCTTGTCCTATTTTGAGTATAGTTTTGGGAATTTGATCTTGCTGTAGCTTAATGTTTATCTTACATAGGAACTGAGGTTAAGATTTCCACCAGAGCATGTTTTTCACTGCCAGAAATGATGTTAAAGGGATTGCATTTTCATTTTTGGGTGAACTGTCATCATTTTTGGCTGCTAACTCTACTTTTTGTTCTGTTGAACGAAAAAAAAAAAACTTTGAAGAATGTTGGAAACCTGTAACCACTGAATTTCATAGTTTTTGTTTTTCCTACTATCGATTACTTCCTAAATTCTTAAAAATATCTTGTGAACTATCCCATGAAATCTCCTCATCTATTATTCATTCATTTATTAATTTTCCTTCGGCTTAGTTCCTTTATTCATCAGGAATCACCACAGGGGAATGAACCACCAACTTATCCAGCATATGTTTCACACAGTGCATGCCCTTTCAGCTCCAACCCAGTGCTGGGAAATCCTCATATATTATAAGGCTTTTTTTTTGTCTGCGCTGTAAGGGGGAACATAGCATTTTCATTTTTGGGTGAACTGTCATCATTTTGGCAACTAGCCCTACTTTGTTATCTGGTGAACACAAACGAATATATTTCAAAGAATGTTTAAAACTTTTAACCATTGATTTCTAGACTTTTTGTTTTTGCTACTATTGATTACATGCATCTATCTTGTGAACTATCCCTTTAAGGAACTGAAATCTCCTCATATATTGTTCATTCATTCATTCATTTTCCTTCAGCTTAGTCCCTTTATTCATCAGGAATCGCCACAGCGGAATGAACCACCAACTTAGCATATGTTTTACACAGTGAATGCCCTTCCAGCTACAACCCAGTACTGGGAAATCCTTATATATTATAAACAGACTTTTTTAGGACTGTGCTGTAAGGGGGGAAATATTTGCAAGGCCCCTTGAATTCTGTTTCGTTTACTTTGCAACCACACAGTGAGTGATCCTCCAAATTAATGAAATTTAAAGAGTATACAAGTGTAGTCAAAGTCAGAACAAGTGTACAAGATGTAAAAAGAATTAGGTTGTGTATATCTACATTTTTTTTTCTCTCAGATTTATTACCTATGGCTATTTCTTGTTCTCAACATAATGTTAATGTCATATCAGTATAGAGTCAATCTAGGGCCATTTACAGTTGAGGTCAGAATTATTAGCCCCCCTTTAATTTTTTTTTCTTTTTTAAATATTTCCAAAATTATGTTTAACAGATTAAGGAAATTTTCACAGTATGTCTGATAATATTTTTTTCTTCTGGAGAAAGTCTTATTTGTTTTATTCCAGCTAGAATAAAAGCAGTTTTTAATTTTTTAAACGCCATTTTAAGGTCAAAATTATTAGCCCCTTTAAGATATATATTTTTTTAATTGTCAACAGAACAAACAATTGTTATACAATAACTTGCCTAATTACTCTAACCTGCCTAGTTAACTCAATTAACCTAGTTAAGCCTTTAAATATCACTTTAAGCTGTATAGAAGTGTCTTAATAAATATTTTGTCAAATATTATTTACTGTCATCATGGCAGAGATAAAATAAATCAGTCATTAGAAATGAGTTATTAAAACTATTATGTTTAGAAATGTGTTATAAAAATCTTCTCTCCCTCAAACAAAAATCGGGGGGAAAAATAAACAGGGGGCTAATAATTCTGACCTCAACTGTATCCTTTAAAATAAAAGAAAGTTTTGCAGACAAAAAATAAAATATTGAGCAGAAATAAATAAATGTAAATCTCCAAAAATCACGAAGCGAAAATTTATTTTTGAGAAACAAAAATTTATTGTGCTAACAAAAATAAAGTACTGCAAAGTGAAAATTAAGTTGAGGAATAAAAATTAAATTTACAAAAAAAAAAGAAAGAAAGAGAAAAAGAATTTATTTTATTTGCAAATGAAAAAAATTTTTTTTATTTATATTTGCAAAACATTTGTATGGCATTACCTTTACAAAACCTGTCTAGTCAATTGTAATGCTCATTTTGATTTGCTCTTTAGTCTGCCGGGAGTTTGCGATGCTTTTTTCACTTTTCACTTCACGCTTTGATTTGAAAAAGAGTCTAGAGAACTCAGACGTTTACGGCAGGCCCGGACCTGCTGGACTGTATTTTGTTTTTGCTAAATTTGTTTGCAAATTTAAATTTTATTTCTCAAAAAAAAAAAATATTTCGCTTTGGGCTTTTTGAAAATTTGCATTATTTATTTATTTTTTGCTCAATACTTTATTCTTTGTTTGCAAAACTTTATTTTATTCAGCAAGTATATACAGTACAGCCCTAGATCGACTCCATATTTGTTGATTTCAAAAAAACATTGCAGTCTTTTTTGCCACACAAGTGCAAAGATGTACAAGTCTGCATTTTGCACATAACTAAATGCACATAGCTTGTTGATCAAAAACAGATCTCTTGATTCTCAGTTAAACTGTCAAACTCTTTGCAACTTCCAAACATTTCCTTCATTCTTTCACATGCAAAATGATCCGTTTAATTATGAAAATCGGTCAGGCCTGCATGTATAGACACTTTTGTGTTTGACATGGAATGTTTGTATCGTCAGCTAAATTGGCAAGTTGTAATAAAACGGAAACCTTTACAAAGCTGTCAATCAACCTATTAGGCTTAGAAGCATATACTGTATGAGAGAGGGAGAGAGAGTTTGCCCACAGCACAATCACAAGCTTTTTGAATTTTTTATATATGGAGGATTGTCAAACAGGTGTCAAAGTGGAAAAAAAAACCACTGAACATTTTGAACAGTATGAGTCACATGAATGTGTTTTAGTCAGGTTTTGTAAGTTATTTTGACAGACTTGTAATAGATCACTAGCAAATAGTTGTGACTGTACGTACAGTTTAGAGAATGTTACAAATGTGGCAAAAGAATTAAGAATTGTTTAAAAACTCAGTAATATTGTGGAAAAACATGTATGCAATAACTGTTTTAAATAATTGATTTTAAAATAACTATGGGTCACACTTTATTTAAAGGTACAATTTTTCCTCTAACAAGTCACGAACTTAATAAACCACTAACTTTTGACACAATAATCGGCAAATAAGCTGCTTATTAAAGTAGTAGTTAGGTTTAGGTATTAGGATTAGGAATGAAGAATAAGATCCTGCAGAATATACTAGCCAATACCTTAATAACAGGCAGGTAATAAGATACTAGTTTAGAGTAAGAATTGGTACTTAAACAAAAGTGTTAGATAACTATTTTAACATTTTTACTTGTATAAAAAATAAAGTTCATGTTTGTTTTAAAGCAAGGTGAGGTGAAAACTGATTTTATTTTGAACAAAAAAATCATACACTTAAAACAATTCTGTAAACAAAATACGGTACCACTTTATATTAAGTGTCCTTAACTACTATGTACTTACGTCAAAAAATAAATACAATGTACTTACTTTGTTTATAATGTATTTGAGAACACTTGTGGTGCTTTTGAGTTGGGATAGAGGTTGGGTTATGGACAGGTTTGGTGGCATGGGTAGGTTTAAGGGTGGGTTAAGGTGTAAGGGATGGTCAACAGTGTATTTACAAATGTAATTACTAAAGTTAATTACAGTTGTAATTACATAAATGTATTTAATCAAGCATAAGTACACAGTAAATACATGTATTTACACAATTAGTACATTGTAACAAACTGTTAATTCCAGTGTAAGTACATATATTTAAGGCCACTTAATATAAAGTGGGACCCAAAATACATTTCAATATGATCGAAATGGAGTGGGATGAAAGCTTACACTAAAACATTTTTTTTTCATTGGATTAACTCATATTTTTTTAAAGGAAAATGGTTGTAAACAATTTTAATGGGCTGAATTTAAACCAATTAAATGTAATAATGTTCAACTTTGTTTGTTTCAATGTAGCTTATATAAACTGTTTTCGACAATTTGCAATGAACCTTTTTGTTTTCAGTGTACTTGTTCAACTAATGAACAAAAAAAAGTGTCTGACCCTAAATGGAAATCTCAATAGTCACCTAAATGTGATTTATTCAAATATGATGGCAAAGATTTGTAGCTTTCATACATTCAAAAAGAAGTACAGTTTGGCGAATGCTCTTATCTGTTCTCTTTTTCATCTAAAACCAAAACAACAAGAGCCTGTGTCTCACCCTGATCAGAAACCGGATCTGTGACTCTGTCATGCACCCAACGCTCCCCTAACATCATCTACCAGGAAGCTCCCCGACTTGTCTAAACAGTAAAAGACAGACAGATCAAAATAAGTCATGATGTACATAGTTTGGTGTGTTGGTGCTTCACATGTTTG